CATATTAATCATATTGCAGCTATCCTCTATATTTGGGGGGGGGGGTGTCAGGCAACCGAGACCGTTGAAAAAAAACTATGTTTATTCAGAAAAAGTACGTTTTGGCGTTTGTTATAAAGATTGTCTGCTCTAATTAATTAGTATAGCTGAGGTCACCCCCCCCCCGAGCCATTAAGAATGAGTCTTAAAACGTGAAGATCCAATCATTAGATCAACAGTTATTCAGAGTGGTCTGTTTTTTTTTTTTTTTTTTTTTTTTTTTTTTTTTTTTTTTTTTTTTTTTTTNTTTTTTTTTTTTTTTTTTTTTTGAGCACTATACTTTAAAAAGTGATTATTTGTGCCACACGGCGGAGGAGTTTTCAATTCAGTATGTGTAGTTGATACTTGGTTCAAAGAGTAATATTTACTGTGCTGGTGACCGTTTGCAGGTTTACCAGGTATGACTGAAGAGCATTTGTTTGATTTCTTTTTCGTCACTGAATAATTTCTTTTAATTATTTTGCTTTGTAAAACAATCAATATAATTTGCTTTTTTAAAGCAGAAGAAAGATTAATGTATACCAAAATCTTTGAGTTAAAATACATTTTTTTTCTAAAATACTATTTTTCTTTAAAAAAAAAATTAGAAAAAATAAATAAGTATAAAAAGCTTAGGCTTGATGTATCTTGGATTTCTCTAGTATAAAAAAGACTTCACATAGGAATTACATTATTTGAAAATCGTATAATGCATTTCCACGAAAATTTCGAAAATATTTCAATAGTCTTTTTTTCCACATAGAAAATAAAAAGGCTTTTCTAGTCTTAAGTACAACAATTTCTTTTTTAATAAAATATGAATGATGAATTCGTAATATATTGTAAAAATGCATTTTGATAAACAAACTGTATGAAAGTCATTTAAGATTTTTTTTAACTTCTCGGTTAAGTAGTCATTATAAATATACACGTAAATTTATTGGAAATTTTCGAAGATCTATAAAAATGCATCCGATAATGTAATTGTAACGTAATTTAAAATGTAATTTTATTTTATTTTTACTGACTTGGTTAAAATGGCAAAAATGGTTATTTTACCATATTTAACAAAAGCGGTCAAATAAACATAAAATAGATGTTATTCAATATGCAAAGGTGAAAGAAAAAAACGTTTATTGATTGGTTTTTACCTAATACGGTTTAGCAACCTGAATTTGATCCACGCCATCTAAGCCAATCATATGAAGCTATTTTATTCGTGTAGCTCGAAGAAAGCTAATAGACCAATATCATGACCGGCTGATCAGGGGTTCGAAATCCAGTGTTGACACCGCAATATTTTTTTTCTATTCTTTCAATACATTAAGAGTTTTCAGTGATCTGCAGTCTGCAATCGGTGACTGTGGACTATTAGAAAATTGAAACTCTCATCCACGCAATAAATGTCTCATCACCCAAAGAGATCTAATGTTCATTTAAATTTAATTTTTACGATTATTATGGGTATAGAAACAATGTTGTTCGTAAATGTTTACAAAATAGTAGTTTTGCAGTCATGTTTTTTTAACCGTACGTGTTGTAAACGGCTTAAAAACCGTATATTAATTTAAAAAAATGTTCTCAAATGTTTCCGAAAATGGTTAAATTATATAAAAATGTTTCTAACCATAATTTTTTTGATTAATTGGGTGGACAAACTACTGTTGACTATCTAACCGTAATCTCAGGATCTTAAAAATGTAATAGATGAAAACTTGTATGCACTAACAAGCAATCTTAAAGGTTTTAAGGGCAAACGGTGATATGGTAATTAATGAGAGCTTTCTTTAGGTTATAAAATAATCAAAAATTCATGCTCTAAATACGAGTTATTTCTTTTCGAAGAATTCAGGTATTTGATTCTCGACATGTAGTTTTTGAAAGTGGGATAAGAATGCAAAGCTTACTTTTAAGTGCTGACAACAGCTACTTTTAAAACTAATTATAACATAAATCCCATTGATTCCAAATAGCTGTTACAACTAATAAATAAAGAATAAATACCAATTCAACCAGTTTTTTACTGCAATAGCTTTTGCAATATTCATAAGAGGAAAATGACAGATTTCTTTCATTCTAAATTTTTATCCAGACTTCTAAGGTAAAAAATACATTTAAGTAAAATAGGTTTTTATCTTGTTTCACACATTTACTTTTAAACGCAGGAATAGAAATATTTTACAAAGCATTCATCAAGCATTTTAAAGATTTTTATCATTGGAATTCAAAAGACTTTTTTTCTTTTTGTATAAACCACACAGATTTCTCTTTTTTTTCCAGCTGTTTCAAATCCCATGAAATATTTATAGATTTTATTTGCATATTTCTGAGAAATATAAATTTTAAATATTCTTCGAAAACTAAGCATTTTGCAGGTTTTAAGGTAATCCTAGGATTCTCTATAGTCATTATTTCAGCTGTAATGGAATCATGAATTTTTCCTATTCCGATAAAGAAGTATTAACCTTCTGTCCGTCTGTTGAATATTAAATGAAATTTATGCTCAGAATGATCTTCATTATCTCCATCTTCCGTTTGAGCTCATTCTCTTTTCCTTTTTTTTAATGGAGAATTTGCGTATTCATGCATGATTCATTCGTTTTTGTAAGATTGCTTTTTCACGCAAAAAAATCTTCTACATATTTGAAACCGTTCCCATAAGCTTCCAGAAGAATAATAAGCTCTGGTATTGTTTAAAAAGATTAAATACTTCCATTCAGTGTTTAGAAATGGTGGAAATTATTCAGAAATTTTCAGAACTTTGCTTTATTTTTAAATGTATTAAATCTCAATAAAATTTGCACGCAAAACAGAAAGGACTTTTTCCTGAATACAATATTAGCATTTTAAAAAGATAAATAAATGAAATAAATTAATAATAAATATAATTTGAAATTTGTATTAATATTATTTTCGTATTCATCTATGGGTGTAGGCTAATTAGGCTTTAAAATACCTACAAGAGATTTACTTTATAAAAATTTAAAATATGTTGTTTCTTTTGAATTTGAATACAGCGAAATAATCATGCTTCATTATATACAAATTGTTCATTTCTTTTCTTTAACATATCATTAAATTTTTAGTATCTTTTCTTGATCACTGCATTTCATAAAGCTAATAAAAATTGCTCTACTGATGTATTATTTTGAAAATAAAACGTAAAAATCTCCTTAATTTTGAACAATAAAGAGGGTAAAGCTAGTCCTATGTATTTTTTTCCAATCTTTGCTTGCACGTGACATGTTTGAATTACTCAGCTAAAGAACAAGGAAAACTGGTATAGCATGCGTATTCAACTAACAGATTAGTGCAATCAATCAGAATAGCTCAATGTGGTCGGCAGACCATGTATAAGAAAACAAGTGTCTGCCAAAGTTGATAGTTGCAAACATCTGAGGAGGGAGATGAATCACGGGGATCAACGTGCAAATCAATCTTCTTCCTTTCAATTACTACTACTATTTAGACAAAGTGTAGGCGTCCCCTTGGCTGCATTCCTGTATGTTACTCTTTATTTTAAAAGACAGGGTATAGGCCGCATAGGGAAATATTCCAAGTTGAAAATATGCAAAATTGATAGATCGCTTCTTTCTGCGATCATGACACGTTACCAGGATTTAAGAGAGCTTGAATATCATATTAGTGTCAGGGCTGCACAAGAATTGCAGCTTAAAAAAATAAAATAAATATAAAGATATGGACCAAAAACGAGTGAAAAGAATCATTAAACGCTTAAACACGTGCAATCACTACTATTTCCAATGCAAGGACATCAAAAAGTGACATTGTGCGAGCCTTTTTACGACCACGACTGGTATGAGTCTTAAAATCTAAAGATTTACTAATGTTTCGTATAGCTGCCTGAACAATACATAACTTCATGCTTTTCCTGGACTGCTAACACCGCTATTGGGCTGTTAATAAGCGTAAACATGTTACTGGTCTATTGAGGTCCGTTTACCTTTGTAGCCTGGTGGATGGACGTGCATAGGCACTGTGACATCCTCTTGAACTCATGAACATTATATGTCAAAAGGGGGGATTGAACTAACGGATGCTTGATTAGTTGACGTGACATGACATCTAGATGTGTCTCAGATACATGATAAATACGTAAGTGTCCCAGTCTATAAAAAGCAACTTTAGATTTTAGATTTGTGGAATGTCATTAGATTCATGTTGAGAATTGTCCTCAGCATGCCTTCAAAACTCATTCGAGTTCATGCCTTGTCGTGTCGGGACACTTCTGCATGATTGCGTGGGTCATACTTTATGTTTGGCTAGCGTACTGGTTTCTTTTTTTTTCTTTTTTCTTTGGTTCTTTGGTTTCGAAGTTTTAATTTTGACTGTAACATTCTTCATGTTCTTGAAACTATGAATGTACAAAAGGTTATCAGAAGAAGAACTTGAATTTTTGTTGTAACGACACCATCAGATTGATATGCATACATTTTCTTACATTTAGTTCCTTTTTACGATGATCATGAATATATTTAGAAACATCGTAAGACCATTCGTTACAGTGAAAAAATTATATTTATCTATTAGGGCAATTACAAGGTTTTTTCTCCCACATATGCATGAAATGAATAAGTGAATTTGTCAAAAAGATTATTTTGTCAATATGTATTTAAGATTGAAATATCTTAATATTAATTATATTATTATATATTATCAAGAACACATAAATATATAATTTTTCGTATACATAATTTAACTTTCTTATTCAAATTTTAAATTTTAACATTTCTTTTGGCATGGAATTGCCCATTATAATATTTATGACTATATTCAAAATTAAATTAGATGTTGTCATTGTGCAAGTTGTGGAATACGGTAGAAAAACTAATTTAGCCATTTATGCATTATTTAAGAATAAATGTACTTAAATTAACGCAAATATACGAACACGGAATAGTAACCACTGTAAAAAATAAAAGTCACATGAGTTGAAGATGGAGGGTGGTTAGATTTATTACCTGCTCTAACTTGAACGTCCCTGCTTCCTATAGTTCCAACCGTATTGGAAGCTTCACATCTGTATGTAGCAGCGTGAACGTCAGCCCGGTAATCTTCTGCAGCAAAAGGTAGAAAAACAAGAGATCCATCGTGGCGAACATGACGAAGGCCAGGAAGATCGTGGATAAGCTCTCCATCATTCTTGACCCATGTCACGAGAGGTCTAGATCTGCCTTCTGTTAAACAAGATATGACAGTTCCGCTCGAATTAGAAAAAACCACTCGGTTTGGCGGCTCAATAACAAATGATGGACTTTTGGTGAGTGGATCTGTTGATAAACCTGTAAAAAATAAATAGCTTTTGACATATCAAATATGTCTGATTAGAATTTTAGTTATATAGTTTTGAAAAACTTACTATTCAATTTAAATTATTAAAGACTGTATTTTAAGGCATTTTCAAATTTAATTGGTCAGAAAAATATTTACTTAGTATTCAGTTTTAAATTGACAATCGATATAACGAACTGCACCGCACCATCAGGATTAAAATTAGTTAAACAGAATTTAACCTAAATTAAAGTAAACCTAAACTCAAATGTAAATCAACTCATGGAAATTTTCCATAGTGATTAAACGATTAACAAACATCAATAATTAGATTAGTCACTTCTAGGAACTTTTTGTAAACTAAAGAATCAGCGATCACAGAGTCATGCATCTGAATGTTCCAAAAATATTTTCCGTATAAGGACATTTTACAAGGCCTGACTTTATAACACACTCAGATCATAATTAAGTTTTTAATTTTTTTTAACAAGTACTTTTTTTGAAACATTTAAAATAACCCACTTGACATAATTGTAATTATCATTCCTTTAAAGGTAAATTTTCATTAATCTAAATTACTGTTCACATGAGGGTAGCAAAACATTTTATGAGAGTTTCTTCTTGATTTGATACATATTGTCACATATTTTTCACAACTGACACTTCAATTTTGATAACAATTAAATTTATCTATGTAGCAAAAAAGTATTTGAAACAACCTGATATACAACCTGATTGATACAACCTGATGAATGTGTTTTTTTACAAATTGAACTCGTTCGGCATCACATGTCATGAAAATGACGCTAATTGACCATGAGAGGACACTAATTGTTTGACACACTAATTGCTTCCTCGACTACGGAATTAAATTTTCTCAGAAGCTGGAACCCCATAATTTTAAGGAAAACCTTCCATAACGTGACTATTAATCCCCATTCATTTCTGGAATTTTCTTTTTCCTGATCTAACACATAGGCTAATGTTTTTTCATCAGGAAAGTAAAAATGTTTTCATTAAATCAGATCAGAAATGTGCCACACTCGTTGTCAACATCATTTAACAATGGTAAGAAAGAAATGTAAAACTAATAAAGTATAAAACTTTGCAGAAAAACTAACTAGAGGCAATTAATAATTTGCGAAAAAGGTGCATAATTTTTTTTCACTATTGAAATATTAAAGGTATGAATAAAGCTAATTAAAATATGTACAAAATTTTGCTAACTAAAACCGAACAATGCATCAACTATCTTTCTTAAAAACAGAAACTTACTTTACTTGGGCTGCAATCTATCAAATTATTTCAATATTATCAAAAGAGCCGTGGTGGCTCAGGGGATAGAGCGTTCGACTTTCAATGAGGTGAACCGGGTTCTAACCCCAGGGATGACTGGCCGATACGAGTTCCACATCCACTCGCACCGGCCGCATAGCTGATGTAAAATATCCTCAGTGGTAGACGGATCCTGGGTGAGAGTCCCTTTGCCTTTAGGCTACCCGTTGAAAGTTTTTGGGTTTCTCCAATCCATGTAAAAAAATGTGGGTTAGTTTTATCAAAAAGTCATCCGCGAGGGCACATTTCACCCAATACTTGATCCAGGAGTTTCCTTGTCTTCTGGACTAAGTTCAAAATTTCATGTTACTTTAGAGTTGAACATTAGTAGTCGTAAACTCAAAATTGGATCAACTGTTCAACGATGGATACAAAATATAATGTAAAATATTATCAAAAGTAAAACTTTTTAACATGTGTTCTGTCTGTCAAATTAAAAACGTATGCTCAAAACCAATATAAGACAATTAATTAAACTCAATTAATTAAGAATACACTAAAATTCTTAGAAAAAGCAACTTTAATAACAAAACAAAAAAAAATCCAGTTTAAATTTTAGGAAAAAACATTAGAAAAATAATCCAACATTAAAAATAAATTGTAAACACAGCTATTTGTATCATTAACACAGAGAAGTTTTATTCTTGCATACACCTTCGACTATCAACAAACGTGAAGCAATCTATATCTTTTTTACCATATATCACAAATCTAAACCATATATTTAGAGTGACATTCTCCATTCATTCAAATGTAGTTAAAGACACTTCACGATTACTGTGCGGTAACATTAAAAAACCAAAAACGTTACCAACTGACTTCAATTGCTATATAGGAATAACGGTTCCCTATGCTCTTTCTACTGAATGTTTGAATAACATTGAGCCTATGGAAAACACTGTAAAAAATTCCGGAACAAATTACGGAACAAATTAAAATGACTTTTCGTAATTTTCGCGTCGAATCATATTTGTTTAATTAGGGCGATTCCGTGATATTACGGTTATCATTAATGTAAAAATTACCGTTTAGCAGATTTTATTTGTTTCGTCCCAGTAAAAATTATTTTTAAGTTAAAAAGAAGCAGCAAAAATATAAGTATTTATTTCAGGAATTTGATTCGAAACTTTTTACAGTGTAAGAAATGGGACTTTTTGCATATCTGGTTTTATTGGAAAAGACTCAATACCGAAAAGTGTAAACTGCATATTTAATATTCGGAATCCAGTAATGAAATATTTCTTACTTAAGATTTTATTTCTCTTTCTTTAAGAAAAAACTTTTTTGCTAATACGTTTTTCAACGCATTAATCAAATGGTAAACTCTTTTCAAGGATCGACATTTTATGCAACTCTTCGGAAACAAATAACAAAAAAATGAAGAATCAATGATTTAAAAAAATGAACAACACTTTTTTTTTAGTTAAACATTTAAATTATTACGTGACTCTTAGAGAAAGAATAACTTCAGGAAGCAAAACATCATCCAGGAAAATAAATATTTCAAAAATAAATCCTTCTTGCTCAAGGAAAAAAATAATACTTAAATTTTCTTAAAATAATTCCTTTTCAAAATTCATTTCAGTAAATCACGTTCTTTAAGAGCAAATGCTTGTATTTTGATTAAGAGACTGCAAGAAACTTTAAATTACAGTTAAAAAGTGATCTTCCATATTAACGTATTATTATCCCCCTTTTCTTCTTGTTATTGGTTTTACAAAAAGAAACATAACTCTCATTTTTGGTGTTTCAGAAATATTTGAACTGTATTCACTGCTCTCAGACAGTAGTTTTGTCACAAAATCATGTGATTTTGAAAAACGTAAACTCTCAAGCATTTAACGAAACTGCCTTTTAATTTGTTCGTCTGCATTATGGGACTTTTGTGTTGTTTCTAGACTAATTGGTAATTAATCTAGTAAATATAGTTTGTACGATGAAATTAAATTCTTATTTTATATTTTTTTAAACCTATCCTGTTAACCGCGACAAAAGTGTTTTTATTTGAAAAAAATGAACTTCTTTTTTTAAAGAAAATGTTAAATAATGCAATAAAATCTAATAGTTTGCTATTTCAAAAATTCTGCTAAATGTCTGATCGAAAATGAAATATATTGTAATTGAATTGATGAGAAAAAAATAATTTCAACTTTTGAATTACATTAAATAAAATTACTCTGAAATCCTATTATAAAAAGAATAAACTATTCATTGTTACTAAATAAGTAATTTTAAAAGAGAACTAATTTATTTTTAATGGTCTTAAATTATTTATTTAAGTTTGATTTGCATAGTTTTTGTCAACTATACCTAAGACGTCTGCATAAGGGGAGGAGAACAAAGAAAAATATTCTTGGAAACATTTCAAATATATGTCTAGTTTAATTTATTTGCTTATTTTGAAAATTGGAAAAATTCCTAATGGCATATCGGGATTTTTTCAAATAATATCAATAACTAAATTAATGTTACTAAACAAAATTTTTTTGTAACGATATTTAAACTCTTATGAATAAAACACAGTATAATATCATTTTGATTTAATTAATAAATATGGGGAAGGTACCAATTGAGGACATTCTAAGAGCTGCTCTCTATTATGTGTTCTGATAATCCATGGACGCGAAAACTACAACAAAAATGCATTAATATTCTCTGCAATTCTATTGCTCTTTCGATTTTGTACAAAATTATTTTTTTTATTTTTAAAATCTTACGATTAATATATTTATAATTACCGAGATATTATTGAATTTGCAAAAATATAAGAATATATTGGCCAGGATCCAATATTTTCAACTGCCCATCTGACTTGATCTACAGCAACCATTTTTTCCAAGGTGCGGCTAACCTCCTATTTCGAGAACCAAGAATTCAAGCACGTCGAGAAAAATATGTTTATCGAATGATTTTTTGCATCTGATTTCATGACTTAGTTAGCAATAATTAATTAGCATACTTGATGCCAACATTTTAGACCGTTAAGATTGGCGCTTAGTCCGTGAAATCCGATCATTAGAACGAAAGTTATTTCGGATGAAACTTTCTTATGTTTAATACAGTTAACCATTCCACACTGTAATTATTATGTTAGGGTAGTGCAGAGATATTGGTTTTCACTATTCGATAATTCAAATGGTGAAAATAGTAAAATATTACAATCAAATATAAGAAAATAGAAAAAAAGTATAATTCTGAAGACAAAACAGACACATGTTCATTTGAGCTCTACATAATCATTTTTTAGTCTGGGGAGAATATAATAAAATGCTAATTTAAGAAGCTCCTACGAAATTCAATAACCTAATTAAATATATTCCTTATTGGCATCCAGACGCTTTAATTTCTGTAAAACTTAATTTAACTTCATTTATTTTGAAAACAAAGTTATCAAAACTGTTTTATAATAATTTCTTCGATCCAACTATTTTTATGAATTTGTAATTGTTTTTAAAAATACTGTCTTCTAACCGAACCAGCTGTAACAGTTTAATGAATCTAATAACCGTTTAGCGAAATTTAATTAAGTGTTCCGCGAAGACTAGCGACATTGGGTTTGAGAATTTTACTTAATTAAGCTTTAGATACTAAATTCAGAAATTCTGTGTTTGGCATAAAGGAACCTCTCTAAAGAATAGAGTACCTTTTGAGTTGTTCAGGAATGTTGCGTAAGCAT